GAGCTCAAGACAGCCTATCAACTGGCCCTGAAAGCAGAGGTGAGAGCCTGGACAATTTCTATAGCTACTAAATGTTAGCGGCTATGTAAGGATGTCTTTAGACACTGTGCTACTCTGAGCTAAATGCTAAAGTTAGCTAAAGCTACAGAGTGGAATAGTTGTGTGGTGTATATTCACATAAATAAATCAATGATTATTGGTTTTGTTTTTTAATCAACAGCTGTGTAATTTGATGCATAATGTGCGCAGAATCAGTTATTTCCCCTATACAAGCCTGACAGTGTGAGTCACAGACCTGGTGTCCCTTATTTAGTAACCGCTTTACAGTGTTTTGTTGTCGAGGTTCATGCCTTTCGTCCTGAGATAATCCGCTCTCCTGTCTCTTTGGCACCTCTGCTCGCGGGGGCCGAGTCAGTCAGAACAAAAATGGAAGCAGCTGGCAGAGCTTGCAACTACAAAGTGCCAGTTTAGCTTGGCTCAGGAGTGTCTCCACCAAGCTCAGGATTATGGGGGATTATTGCTTCTGGCCACCACTTCAGGCAACGTTGACATGGTGGGCCAAGTGGCTGAGGGGGCAGAGAGAGATGGGAAGACCAACGTGGCCTTCCTCACCTACTTCCTGCAGGGGAGGTTAGTGCGTCAGGGGTAAAGAGCACAAAGGAGGTTTTTAAACTGACTTATGTGTTTCAATTTTATTCTTTTTTTCTGTCACCACCATCTTTGTTTTTTTGTATTTGCTCAGAGTGGACAAATGTCTGGACCTTTTGATCAAAACAGATCGACTGCCAGAAGCTGCATTCCTGGCAAGAACATATGTGCCCAGCCATGTCTCAAGGTAATGCTGCTTCTAATGAATACCTAATGTCCAAGTGTAACACTCTTTGCCTGTGGGCTTACATTAGCCCAGACCTTCCCAAAGTGTGGGGCCCGCCCCCTAGGGGGGGCGCAGAGCCATTGCAGGGGGGACGCGGCATGAAAAGGGAAAAAAAAACCCAAAAAAACATGGGGCGCCCACACAAACGCAAAGCAGGAGATGAAGCATCGCTGAATATGTTTCCAAACCAACTTCATTCTAAGCCAAAGACCAGAAAATATGGCGAAGCATATCTGCCCTTTGGTTTCACCTGCACAAGTGCCGAGGTAGGTTTCCCCTGCAGAATTGGTTTTCCCTTTGTCGGGAGCAGCGCTGGGCTCTTCAAATCACGGACAAACAGTATCCTACATTCTTGATTTTTAGTTCACAAACACTTGTTGTAATGACTAACTACTCCTGACATGTTGGAGATGTTAGCTCTTTATACAGTAAAGTTACAGCGGGATACAAATAATATCAGGCCGTACCTGCCACGATTTGTTCCCCCTGTCTAAATCACGGACAAACATTATGTTTATGTTTTTAAACCCATTGTGCACAGAGAGGCATTTTTTTTTGAAAAATGTATTGATAGCAATGTTGAATATTATTACACAGGAAAAAAACAACTACATGTAAAATAATTACACCGTGACGCCTCTGCCTTTCTAAATAGAGGGACAGAAACTGTGTGTTTATATGTAAGTGTGTAAAACCTGAAGATAGAGACAAAATACTGTTAATCTGACTATCTGCCATTCTGCAATTCATCTCATGTAAGCAATA